TTTCAGATTAATACATCATTGGTCATGTACCAAACAGCTTTCTGCGATAAACTTCACTGCCCACCAGCAGAAGATTTGTATCACCACCACGTGGATGCAGGACTCCATTATTAACTGCTTAAATGACCCTGTCTGCTCTCAGTTCAATTTAATTTTTCATTCTGCTTCCTAAATTTCACTCTTCCATACCCATTTAAAACTGTTTAAAACTATTTATATTAGTATATAAAAAAATATAGAAAAAAATTCCATACTTTACTTCAAAAACATGGTTTTGTAATTTGAAAACCTTGCCTACTAAGTCTGTGGGGCAAGGGAGTACAAACATCCTACAAAAAGTTTACAGAACGCTTTTTGAAGGTAAAAGGAAGACTTTTTATGTCAAGTCTACACTTGTCCTTGAAACTCCAAAAATATACTTAAGCTATTATTGTATTTAATAGAATACTGAAGAAAGATGTCATATTTTGCACTAAATATATGACAAACTGGAGCAGACAAATATTTCCTATGCAATTATCAACAATTATTCAGTCTCCAACTAGTCAGCGAATATCCACTCCAAAAATGGTCAAATAATTATGAGACTGAACATGACACAAATTCTCAGTATGTTATGCAGGACAGCATGACACTGATTGTTAATTGAACAATTTAAAGGTATAGAGTGCTTTCAGGTCTACCAATTTTTTAAGTTAAGCTTATCCAGCTGAAGTAATGCAGAATAACTAATAATAATTTAACAGTTCCTTCATTATAAGTTTGAGACTTACTGTAACTAATTAAGTTAGTAAATAGTTCCTTCAATATTTAGTAAAGTGTACGAGCTTTCCAGTATGAACGTTTGAATTAAGCATTAGAATGTAAGCATGTAAAGCACTTGCACAAATACTTTAATTTAATAACTGTTTGAAGTTGAATAAAACCGTGTTTTGTTAACTGTTTTACTGTATCCCAGCTACGCAACTTGGTGGCGTGCAGACAAGCTGTATGGGCTTTCATAGCAACTTTTACAAAGAATGCTACCAAACTAACAGTAGTTTGAAACACAATACACTTGAATAACTCTGAAATCCTTCTAGATATAGGAAAAACTGTAAACAGGTTAAAGGATAAATATTGGCACGACAATTTTAGTGCCTCCTCTTACAAACAAGAAAATGCCTCAGAAATCTGACATACTTCAAGGAACATACTACTTTAGAATGTAATTTGTGTCAGGTTGCAGCAGTGAAAAAAATAAGAGAACTGGAAGCCAGATGCTTTACTTGATCCATACATACAGAACTCGAAGAAATCATAAACGGCACTTTATATTTTAGTTGGCCTATCTTCAGGGCAAGTATATGCAGACATCAAAATTAATTCAATATTATAATAGGAATTTAACACTAAATTAAAATAAGAATGAAGTCACCTGTATACTGAGCCATACATGGACAACTGTCTGTAGAAGTTGTGGTGTCTTGCCTTCTAAGTAATGTACCATCAATACAATCAAACAGTGTGACATAAAGAGTTAGGAATACTAATAGTAATGAAAACATAAATCATGGGAAGTATCATTAAAACAGTAAACACAGAATTGATTAGAGAAATCAGATTCAATTTTCCAAGCTATATCCAAGACTAATACACACAGTGGTTTTTTGTTTGGTTTTTAAAGTGTTCTCATACATGAGTTTGTAAATATTTCATGTTTGGAGATTTCCATGCCATTGCTAGGCAGATGAAAGTCATTTGGGGGTAGAAGGCACACCAACTTACATGCATTTCTCTCCTCCACTTGTCTAGAAGGTACCTGCATGCTAGATGGGAGGGCTGTATTCTAATGGTGAGTTCTGCTTTATCTTCAACCTATTCTTCACTTTGTTCTCACATACGGTCCTTACTCTTATTTTCCCTTATGACTTTGAATTATAAACATGTTTGCACAAAAATTTTTGCACTCTAACCACTGACCATTTGTTTCAAAATTTAAAACAGGTTCAAAAAATGTAGCTTCCATTTACTCTTTCTGAAAGGCAGTGTTCTGGGCTCTTGATAGATAAACTTGGAGGAGAAACAATCTCAGTGATGGTCAACAGATTTAACACAAAAGCTAACTACAGCACCTAGATTATTTAAACACAGCTTGATCTAGAATACCATCATTCATTGGTAAGAAAAAGAGCTCCTAAGATAAGACGAAGCTGAATGCTAGAAAATGTGGCTACCAGAATTGGAAACAGGCTGGTGTTTAAGTGCATTTAAACAGCTTTTAACTTGCACTGTTTTAAAAAACAGTTATAAAAATCTCATTCAGAAAAGAACTCATTTAGAATCTAAAACTGCTACCATAATAACTGTCTTGCATTACTTTGTGTCTTTAGAGTTCTTTATCCTCTTGGGAAGCAAATTATTGCCTTGTAAAGCAAAACGAAGGGTAGTTAATTATACTGTTCTGACCCTACAGTTCAGGCTATGTCAGCTTTTCCACTTTAAAATCTTATTTTTAAGAGGATTATGACTTAGTCATAAAAAATCCAGCAACTGGTTAGAAGATGGCATGCACATTCTCTGAACATGGCCACTAAAAAAACAGCTTTAAAAATGACTAGTGCCAGTTAATACCACAAAGATGTGAAGGTGTTCTCACATTAGCTCTGAAAGCACCCTTACACCACAGTGACTACTGTGGTAGATTTGCCTAAGAATTTATACCTTCCTTATCAAGGCGGATCTCTGAACGGAAGAGCAAAGGAGAAGCATTCCTGTAGTTGTCTTTTGTTGAACAAGTCACAATGTACATACATGCATGATTTTGTCTTCTGCTCAATAGTAGTGGGGAAGGGACAAGGAGAGGTATGATAGGAAGTTCTTTGTGAATTTCTGCATACTTAGTCTTGAAGATCAAGTGTCCCTGCATATTCTGCCTATGGCCAACACAGAAGGTGGCTATTTCATGATCTCTCCATCTGCCTAGTTTTGCTTAGGGAGCTTTCACTCTTTACCCTCAATTTCAAAGCGCTAGTAGTTTGTCTTAAATTGAGTACTGGTATGGTATGCCTACTATCAGGCAAGTTGCTAGAGGTTCTCAGTTCAGGATTCTATTTAGCAGGAACTAGATACGTAGACACCCAAATACTGAGAACTAAAAATCAGAACTGAGTGTGATTTGGTGTCAAATACTATCTCAAGGTTACAAACAGAATGACATTCCCTTCAATTCCTTCAGAGACACAATTACCCTGTCTTTTTTTTTCACTATAGTGATACTAAGGCAAAGATAAGGCAAATTGAGACAGATAGCTTAATGTACCAGATTAGTAATTATGCTGGGGTTTTTTCTCCAACGGGTTTTACGTTTGTGACTACATGCCACAGGTATTAAACTACTTTGATGATCCTTCCAACTTGAACTGCAGATAGGCTTTTCTGACCTTTGATTCGTACAGCTTCTCTACTGCTGCACCTCCCTTTAACCTTACATGCAAAAGACTACATATTCTGGGGAGCTATCATCTATCTTTCTGAATTTGACAGTTTTTCCTTTCCACAGTATTAGAGCAAGCAACCATTCTACCAAGATCACGATCTTCAGTTACTGCTGCCTTCTAGGTTCCCTTTACCTATTCAGATTACCTATCTGCTACTCCCAACGTTACTGTATCAACTGGCCTTTTCTCAAGTTTCCTCCATTCTCAGTCCCACTGACATTCATTTTGCTCGTTAAGTAAGATTTTTTTTTTGTATGTCTAGCTGTGAAGTTTTATAGCTGTCTTAGTAGTAATTACCTAGCATAAAGCAGAATAACCCAGAACAAAAGTAAACTGTATTGGACATCCTTAGGTCTTTAATTTTAAAGTTCTGCAACCAAAAAACATTGATCTGCCCAACCTGTTTGACAGCACAGTCATTTCCTAAAGCAGAATCTGGTCCAGAACAGACATAAACATTTGAGGGTAAGCCATCATATGAATTTTTCTCAACTCCTGAAGAATCTCTCATGTTGAAGTAGACTGCCCAGAGGACTCTAGGTTTTTCCAGTTCTTCATTTTCAGTGTCTGAAAAAAAAAAAAGTGTTTCCACTAATCGATGTTCACATATAATACGGGAAATATGTAATCTAGCATACTGAAAGTCAATTTATCAACATGGAATTACTGTAATAAAGTAACTTTTTTTTCTTTAAAAAGACAATTAATTTTACTTTTCATTCTTTTCTGAAGTACTCTTTCATCATACTACTCCTTTACAACCCTAGGTATGTAAACTCTGCTTATTGTGTACACATGCCACTTAAGAACCATTTATCTCCTAAAAGCACGCTACCAAGAAACTTGTTCTAAATTTCTAACACCTTTCATGTTATCTAGTTTACTCTGGATAAACTCCATGAGCATATGACAGTCTGAACAAGTCCTCTACGGGCTGTGCCAACTTGAAGCTACTGCATTGCATATGCAAAGATATTTTTGATGTATACTTCCCCCGCCCCGCCCCCGCCATTTAATAGTTTCCATCTTTGCATGGGAACTCTTCTCAAAACAGACCTTTGTGTTCTTTAAGATTAAGCATCTTCAAGCCAATCTAAGGAGACTAACTAATGCTTACGGTTTAAATAAAAGAAATTTTAAAGAAAAATCCACAAATACCTCCCCTGCATATTAACTGCGGATAAAGAATTGCCAAAACCTAGAATTACTCTCTTTGAGATGTGTGATATGCAGTATGTAGAATCTCTAAACTGTGGAAATATTGCTAAATGAAAATAAATTATTAATTTATATTTATCTACACTTACTGAAGACTTGTACTGTGCTACAATACTCATTATGAATAAAAACTGACTACATCCTGCTTCTTCATCACAGGTACCTTCTTGCAGTTACTTTGCACATTCATATAACCCCTCTGCAGAGGCAGAAAATCCTCAGGGAAGATGAAGGTCACTTTTTAACATGGCAGAATGCAATGGAGGAATACACTACATAGACTCTTTGCTTAATAGATACTATTTGTTTGGCATATTTGCTGTCCCCTTTTTGGTATTTTACCTCCTCTAAAATAAATGAAGCTTGTAAAAGACCTTGTGAGATTTACTTCTTTCCAAGGAAAAAACTTCTAGATAACAATGGCATTCAAAACAGTATTTTAAAGCAGTTGAATTAGAAAAAAAGGAGATAAATCTATGCTATTCCTTCAGTATCTTTTTATAACCGTCAAATATTTTTAAAAAAATAGGTGCTAACCATACTGAACAGTTTGAAGTATAAATTAAATTCATCAGCCTGTGAAAGTCTAAGCCTTAATACAGGGCAAGATGCTCTTTAATATATTTAAAAGTTCACATTGCTCATAAAAGTTACTTCTTCCTCATTTAGGCAGGAAAATGAATGGAGTCCTCTTCTCCAGGTGACTTTGCCTCTTTGACCTGCCATGGCCCAGTGCTCACTTTATCTGGTGATTCATTTTCAGTAACTCCAACAGTATTTGTTCTGACATTTTAATTAAAATACGACCACTACCTCATCCTGATGATAAAAAGGCCTATGTGTCAGTGAAAACTAGCTTTTCAGTGCCTCAGTGCACCTGAGGACCCCTCTGATCACAGAGTTTCTACAGAATTTCAGTCAGGTTCTAAACAATATATCATTTCAAAACTGGATCACTTTAAACATTAAGATTAATGTTAACCCCCCCAAATGATTAGAAGACACTGAACTGCAAACTAATCTTTTCTTCACCAATTGAGTCTTTGAAACATACGGCACTGTCTTGAAAATTTAAGATATGTGTTAAATATTAAAAGCTGGAAATCAGCGGGCTTTAAATTAACAAAACATGCAAAGTGTCTGCAGCAATCCAATCTAATAAAGTTTTCTATTTACAACCCCTAGTTGTATTCTACATGTTTGTTTTGTTAAGGCTCTTATACTACAAACCAAGAAAAAAATTTACATCTTTGGGACACCAAAGGTACCTTTCCTGTAATCAAAACAGAAAACACATATTATTTAATACTTCCTATTAAAAGGCACTTTGTTGACTAACAAAAACAATAAGACACTTTTCCATTAAAAAGTAGAGGAAAAAAAAATAGAAATGGAAAACAAACTTGTGAAAAGCTGAACTCAACCCTTTATGAAACACTGTTCTTGGTTACAGAGCCCCAAGAGGAAAAATAAAGACTGGCCACATAAAATATCACTTTATTTTTTTGAACAGGAGAAAATTCTACCTGAATTCATATTATGCTTCACGAATGAAGCATAACAGCAAATATTATAAACAAACCAAATATAAATATTATAAAATACTTCCACATCTTACTAACTTGTGTATAGATGAACAGAAATACTTTCCCTGACAGCTAAGCATTGGTTTCTCATAAAAGAACTAAGATTTACTGTATTTAAATATGAGAAAACTATATTAAACAGTGCTTTGTCAGGGTTAGAACACAGCAACATCTTCTATGTGCACACCACCTATTCTATGAGCATCTACCAAAAATATGATTAAATTCAAGATCTCGGGATTAAATTTCAAAGACTTCTGTGGAACTAGCTCAAAGTACCTCAGGGACAATTTCTTTCTAGGCAACTGCCTAGAACAACTTGTCAACAGCTACTTTCCTCTAGGACTGTGACATTGTCCATCTCAAGGTCAAAGTTCACGAAAACAGCTGGCAAGTTTTCCTTGAATTTAGAACCAAATAGTTTATTACTGGAAATCTATTTTCCTGGTAACACTGCAGTGCATAACAACTTTATGCTTCCACTGCTTAAAGCAGAATCGTGGTTTGGGGGGTTTTGATAACTTTTGTTAGGGATACCCAAGTGACAGAAATCACTAAAACAGGATAGTGTAAAAAACCAGGTTCATAAATATTTAATTTCACTACCGCACCTTTGAAAGACATGCTGAGAAGCAAGTATGTTTCCACGAAAAAAAAAGTGTGAAAAATTAAAAAGGTCCTAGCCACTTAGAGCCATGGTCCTTTAATCCATATACTGAAGTTAAACCTCAGCTGAAGACAACTTGGAACATTAGATCACGAAACACAAAAAACCTGACATCTGTCTAATCAATCTCACTCTCAAAATAGATTCCTTTACTTTGAAATGCTGATATCCAAATAACAGCTCACCATATGTTGACTCTGATGACAGATTCAGATGTTCAGTAACAGATACTTTAGTTACAAGGGTAAATCATATATTTGCAAAATAAATCTCTCCATACTTCATTTATTTATTTTTACCTTTTTCTGTATTTAGATTGAATAACTTCTGTACAATAGGCTCTAAATCTTCCCTAGCAGTTTTAGTTGATGGACAGGTTAAATGGACTAGATCTGTAAAACAGAACACAAACTAATTACAATCACCAACACACAGATATATAAATATCATTTACAATTTTTAAAAGGCACAGCAGGCTTTTAGAAATCACTGCTTTTCATATAAATCACTTCCTTTAACCCAGAGAAGTACTGTAATACGGAAACACAGTGTATATACACTACACAGAGAAGTTTTTTTAAAACATTTCATAACTGTATCTCTCCCATATACGTTCGTAAGAGGGAAGGATAACTTAACATCAGCAGTGCAGACAGAGAGAACGTCATTCTCTGAAAAGGTGTCTTTGACACAGGAAAAGCAGCAGCAAGAACCTGGATAACACATTGTATTTGCCATTAACAGCCTCTAGAAATCCCTAGAACATTCTTATCAGTGTTGACGGTCCAATAGTTCAACAACACACTAAAGCCACAAATATCACTCCTTTCGTCAGCACTCTCCTTTAAGAGCTACGTTGGGACTGAGTGGAAATTCAGAAATTTGGCTACTCACAGTTTAAGTCTGGCCGTACAGGAATAAGTATGAAGCTATCTTCCTCCACTGAAGTAAAAAGTTTGAGCAAGACCTCAATTTCTTTTATTGTACTAAACAGTAAATTGGAGATGAAGGGAACAGATGCATGCTTTAAGTTACAGCTCAAGTGGGCTGGCAGTTAACTATTTCTCTCCAGCCACATAGAGAATGAAGAACACTGGGAACACTGTCATGTTTCGACAAATCAGTGGGAATTTAAAGATAAGCACTGCTGAATATCAGAGAACTCTTCTGCGATGTAAGCGATGACATGTGCAATCCCTTGGTACAACATAACAAAAAACTTCTACAACATTTTATTCATCCACCTTCTTATAGGAATGATAGGAGAAACAGCAGTTTTGTGGTTGGGTAAGTGTGAAATTAGGTTAGGTGGGCTAGTAAGGACTTCTGATAATTAGCAAAACTGATTTCAAGTACTTGATTTTGAGAGATGCTCTGTACACATCAAAAATTACAGAGTATAGCAAACCTATATTGGAAAAAGATTATACGAAAAGATTTTGGACCACAAGAACACAGTCGCGGAAATGTATAATTAATCAAAACTCACTTTACAGCATGGGGCAAATCAATGTCACTTAATCCAATTCCGTATTTGCGAAATTCACAGCTTTGCTTGAACAATGCAGATTTGATATTTAGATTTCTTGTTAATGTACTTTTTTCATAAAAATAAAGTTTCTAAACAGATTCCTCACAGAACATACTATTCCTTTATTTGTTCTGTTTTGCAAACTACTGAAGTTGCTGACTCCTTAGAAAAGATAATCACTCGATGCAGCTCTCAACCTCTTTTCTGTTCCATTCGTCTCTATTCAGATACAGAATCAGCTACTCTGCTGCTTTATCCCACCTGATTTTACAACCATTCATTTAGATATTTAAAAGCCTCATCTTAAAGCTTTTTCTAAAATTACCTTAACAGACTCATTTGCTACTGAATGGCTGTCTGGAAATTTACGAGCAGAGAAGTATCTGTCAGAGAATCCTGAAGAAGTTTAACAGATCTTTGTACAAAGTTTAAACTGACTCATTTTTTCTTCACTACTGTACATTTCTGATAAATTTAATAGCAATGTACTGCTATGGCATTGTTTTAGATCCATATGACATTTTTCTTCTTTCACTCTGAAGTCCGGCTATATTTGTGTCATTATTTACATCATACACATCTTGAATGATTTCCTGGTCACAGTTATGCCACAGAAAGTTTGACACTGACTCCAAGAGCATCAGAAATTTAACCCTTCATGATGCTCCTCTTTCAGAATGCACACACAAAGATTATAATCAAACATTAATATTTATTTTTTATTTAACTAAAACCAAACCTTCTGTCTAAAAGGAATATGTACTAAAAAAAGGAGAAGAAAACAGGTGGTGATAAATCAAAGTCTCCCTGTAACCTTAACTAAATGTCTACAATCCCAAACATTGTAATACAACCTATTCTTTCCTCAAAAAAAACCAGCTATAAATCACTAAAGTTCCCATCATTTACTTTCTATAAAATCTTTTTTATTATCTTTAAGGTTATGGCTATAAGTCACAGTCATCAGTATATATTTTGATTATATTTGATTTACTCAGGTATAACTGCATTAGTTACAGTGGTTGCCAACATTTGTCTTCAAGTAATTCTTCTAGCAAGAAGAACGATGAGTTTAGTTCATGATTTCATCATTACAGTCTCAATTTTTAGGGCAAGTGAAGGAGTTTGGTTCCACTCAACTGGCAATACGGATTATGTGCCTGTCATTTATGCAGTGTGATCAAAGAGTAGATGTATTTGTATACTTATCTTAAATAATTGTTTGAAAGAGAAATCAGTCAGGTTAAAACTCATTTACAGATAATGACGTAAAAGTTTTCTAAAAATTTATGAAATATGCCCCATAACTAGAATTCAGCTCTACCTAAAATATACCTGCATTATTTCAATACATCAAGACAAATTTCAAAGAACGTAGTACCTTCTCTTCTGAAATTAAAAGAATTTATGGAGAAAATAACACAAACCTTCATTTTTCAGCACCACAGAAATTCTCAAACTAATAATTCATATCTACTTTAACATCAATCCTTCTTTAGTTCACTTTCCACTATATATACTTTGTGAACCCTTAAATGAAGTAAACCAGCTATTTAAAGGGTAAATATTAACAATATGCTTTATAGCACCATGTTCTTATTACAGGTTTATCTTTTTTTCCATTATTTAACCAGGAAATATAATTTTGAGTGACTAATTATTTAGTTCACTATTCTTCCATATGCAAAGAATTAAGTTCAAGCCTAGGTAACAGTAAAATAAATTGGTTATTATTACAGTTACTTATTTTTTGTTTAAAAGCATTACATCAGGTAACCTCTAATTCTGTTCATCTTCCACAGTGTCCCAAATTGGTAATCTGTTTAACAGAATTGTGAAGAAAAGTCCTACAGTACAAAGATTCTCTTAAATGTCAAAGGTAGTCTGAAAGGAACAAAAATACATGCACCTATGTTAACTAAGATCCCACCTTTCTGCTTACAGGTTTTTTTCACAAATGTTTTGAGAAAATCCTTCGGGTGGGTTTTGGCCCTTTCATTACAGCGGTAAGAGAAATTTGTGGCAGAAAATTTTACAAAGAAAACATTTCTAAGTTAAAAGAAGTCTTGACTTGAAGACTGCACAATGTTAGCTAGCTACAGAGGAGAAGAAACAATCTGCTAGAGCTCTCCACTAACCTTATCTACCATTCTACTACATCTTTAGTGATCTTAAACTTGCAGAATAAACAAAATGTAGAATTCTAATACTTTTTTTAAATCTAAAAAGAAATACAGCAGTCATAACAAAAAGCTCTGTGGTGCTATTTGATAATTACTGTACAGTAAACAGAATACTGTTCCAGTACTAACAAGACTACAGCTATCAAGCTTATTAGCCACGTAAGTGTTAAAAGGAACATCTGATGTTTGATCCATTTGGAAATAAAGAGCAACATACTTCACTACTATGACAATCACAATAAGACTTTAAATAAATAATTATCAAACGTAAATGTAAACAAAATTTGAATGCAACAAGACTCTCATAGTATGACTCCTAAGCCATATGAAACAGCACACAGCTGCTACAGAATGAAGACAGTGGCCTATTTCTCTCACCTGCTGGTAACAGTAACCTAGTACACACTTTTCTCAGTTAATACCCTGGTTCTTGTGCAGCAGAGGAATGAGAAACACGTATTTTAAACTCTCTTTCAGAGCTGACAGAATTAAAGGAAAAAAAAGAGTTAAGATTACATATACTCTGTACTCACAAGTGTCCTTCATGCATGTCATGGTTGAGGAACACAACTCAATGACGCAAACTGCTGGTTTTCCTAGATCCACTGGAGGCACTGTCAAAATGGAAACCTATCAAGCAGAAAGAACAACTCACGCTGAAGTCGAGTAACATGGAGGATGGGGCAACGAACAACATTCTGAGTAAAGGTGAAAAATAACTGCAGACAGTTACACAATTTTGTTTTCTGGTTTATTAGTAACAACTTGTGCAATCAAGCCTGCTTAATTAAGCGTTCAAGAATCTCTACCCAAGTCAGCAATGTCTGCAGCAGTGGAACAGAAAGAAAACCTTGTATCACAGCCCTTTCCAAAAGGATGACAGTCCAGAAACTCTGTTGGCAAGAGACTGCAAAGTTGCTTTTGAGCACTGGGCTGCGCACTGTTAGGTGAGGATGACTGGAGTACTTTTATGCAGGACTGCTAGCAGCAAGACTTAGGAAGAACAGATTTCTCTGTCATATATGTTCTCATTTTGTAGATCCTAAGAATACAGCAAGCGCACAGAAGAAACACTTAACAGATTAATATCCTTTAAAATGAAGGTCTGCAGAGACTGATGAAGCAGAAACATTTAAAGAAGGATCTGAAAGTGTGTAAGAACTTTGAACAGTAAAACTGAATGTTAAAAAAAAAAAAACAACTTTGAACAAAGTTTAGACAAGCTAAATAATTAACAGTAACAGAATACTAAGGGTAACTTTATTAAAAAGCAAGTGAAATAAACTACCTTAAAGACAGCAGCTTAGAAACTCTGTTAATTAATATAGTGCAAACCAAACAGGGAAACCCAAGTCATTGAGCCAAAATAAACCAAAATAGAATAAAATCCGTAACAGTTTTATAGAGACTAACAAATTAAACAAGTATTAGTAGACAGAGCTGACTAAAAAGCTGGATTCAAGCAGAAACAAAAGCATGAATTAATTCCTACCAACAGCCAAATATTAATACATACAATTCCTAAAGAGGTAAGTGATACAAAACTGATATATACCTGCTGCTCTGAATCTGTGTTTAGTACAGACTGATCCGTAATGAGCACTGCTCTGGAGATCTGCCTACAATTAAATAAAACAATTATGGTATTTAAAAAAATGTAAGAAATAGCCATTTGTATTCATAGTTTTGGCAATACCAATCTAAACATAACACTGTGGGAAGGTTATTTAACCATATAATTTTTATTAATATGATGGTGTGTGGGATAATTTGCCTGTTGCTGAAGAAGGAACACATCTGGAACATTAATGTAGTATCTTCAATAACAAAAATCGATGATAAGTAAGCCAGTGCTGTTATACAAACCAGCTTGAACATCCTTCTGATTTTTAAAAAAAATCTTTTATTTGACCCAGATTAGTAGCAGCATATTAGAGAACTTCTTATGCTCCAAACAGCATAGGACACTTTGGATTAAAAAGAAATACACCAGGATGGACTTTATGAATTTAAGTTTCTAATCCTCCATTGCCTATGATTATTTCTGCACTGCACCTACTACTACAGTTCTGCTAATATCTTATCTGCAATATTTTGAAGACAAGGGCACTATATGTCCAATGCTTTTGGCAAGAGAAAACAATGACTTTTAACACTTTTCTAAACCTGAACAAATTTAAAGCAAGAACAGCAATAGGAACCTCCACCAAACACTTTTTAACAAATACGAAACCCCTAACACACTTCGAGCTATTGGATTTTTTATATGCAAAAAAGGAATATGATTTACAGGACAATTTAAGAAAAACTAAAGATAGCAAGTATACAGTATGCCCTCAAGCATCTAAAAGATGAGAAAAAACTAGGCACAGAATTACGCTGTACTGAAAAGATAAAGCAGGAGACAATCTCTTAAGTTTAACTTGCAGGGTACTTCATATGCTATTATTTAAATAAATTTACTATGTTTACTGTTTTACTACATACCTGTAACACACATTTGTGCATATGCTCTCTGAAAGGTAACTGTCTTCCACAATAAAATAATTAGCACTTATTCTTTGTCCAAAATGATCCACCATAGCTTTGCATCTGTTAAATAAAAAAAAACCAACCAACAAACCAAAATAAGAAATTTAGACATAAAGTAATAAAAGCATGCATAAGTTTTCAAAATTGAGTCATATAGCACATCATTTATATCTTTCAAATAAATTAGCTACACATTCCTTAACATGTGAACCCCTAAACCAACTCAACTGAAATGAAATTGGCATATATTTCTTACCTCATGATACGTGGAAAATACCGTGAATTATTTTGTAGGTGCTACCCTATCACAGAGTTACTTCTCCCCAGTCAGTAACCTTTACCAAAGACAAGTTTATTTTGACAATAATATTTGACAAATTAAATGGAAAATTAATTTAAGAGATGCAAGGAAAAATCCCTGAGAAATAGGTACCTCAGACCATTCCAAGAGAACTTTTCTGAGGTTCTACATTTGTGACTAAACATGCTATTTATCTCTTAAGTTACACACTAAAGGATTAACTAAGTTACATGGCTTTAAGAGCAACACTAACCTTCTTGATAGACACCGTTTGTCTTCGAATACATACAAATTGTAACCCAAACATGTATTAGTCTGCTTCAGGCAATATTTGAAAAAGTAAAAAACCAGCAACAAAAAAAGCCCAATTCCCCCCCCCCCCCAACAAGCACCCAAGACACCACTCTCCCACAAATCTTTCTGAATATAAGAAGGTCAAAACAAAATGAGAATAATTTAAAAGTTGAGACATTGCTACAAAAATTTTCTGTAGTCAAATATAACACAACAGACTAACACTCTTAGAAATGCAAACCACAGCAATTCAGAACACTTAAGTGAAAACAAGATACATATTTCAGATTTTAATGGGGAAATCTCTCTCTGAAAGAACAAACTTCAGGCTTATATACGATGTATGAAACTAAATCACATATACGAGACCTATAAAAAGGAGGCTGCATGCAGATACTAACCAAAAACAACCTCTACTGCTGATTCCTACATGCCATGATCTGTGTTCTATTTAATTGTACATATTTTCCTCAAACTGAGACATTGCAAACATGTTTAGAAACGCCTACAGGTTTAAAGAGCACCTGTCTTAACACTTTTCCTATCTAAAGTGCAAGCAAAATACGTGCACTACAGTTTCTTCTTTATAGTTTGCTTCCATAGCCTAAGAATCTTTAAGGCTTAATACTGACTTCTAAAACAAGATTTTAAGATTTTCTATAATATCAGAATATTTACTGTATAAATAAATAAAAGCAAATTAGCTTCACTTAACTTTTGCTTAGTGTGTGAAAGTTACTACACTTATTTTAAAACTTAAATTCTTCTGAATCAGTGTCTCAATGTTTCAGTCTATTTAATACACAGGATTCAAACCAGTAAATTCTCTCACACACAGTTACACACAGGCGCACACACAGGGGAACATCAAAAGAAACAAAAGGATGCCTAAGACAGAGATCCCTTACAGATTTAAATGTGTTTTATCATAGTGCAACATTATTCCTCTATCACTAAATATCTGACATGCACATAATGCCTCATGAATAAACAGCATTTCTGTAACTTCAAGTTATTCATTAGCTTCTGTGATCAAAACTATCTATAACACTAGAGAACATGAGAACCAAACCTAAATAAGTAATAGCAATCAGCTGCCACTAGCTTTAGTAAACTAGTTGCTTCTGTAGCTTGAAATGAGAATTGAAAAGGGGGCACACACCATTTGTTCACAAATGTAAGAAGTTCATGATTAATTACGCACATTTTTATAACACTAACTTCTAATGCTGATTTCACAGGAATCTGGTTACTGTATATATACCTATCCTCAAATTCAATGGATAACTTGAAAACATTAAATAATTAAAAGAATAAAGTAATTAAAAGAAGTCTTAATTAAAAGAGGTTTAATGGTATAAGCATTAACTTTAAACATGTAGTAGTCTTCATACAGTTTCAACCACATTCTATTCAACATGTGTTTCACTTGCAACTTTAAGTACTTTTTTCTTAATGTTAACCTAACTGATGTAATTCTCAAGCACTCATTTGAATACTGCAAATGAACAAGGAAGCCAAGCTGCCACAGTTCATTTCTAATTATAACCTTTCTTATTGTTTATGAAACAATTTCCCCTGCCACCCCCCTAAACATTATCGAAGGGGAAAGGTTGATTAAATGTCATGTTGCATCACTCAAAGCCAGCAAAAGCAACTACATGCTTTTTATTCTCCTGCTAAGTGTTGTTTCCTCTCCTTTGTTCAGAAATAGCTATCAGGTCATACGTTTGATAAGAATTTAAAGAGAAAAAGAGATAGCACTTTTAATTTCAGTCTCCACTTTACTTCAAAGGATGATGCTGAGAAAATTTCTTTCAAGTAGCGCTTCCAAATATGGCAAACACTTATGCGCTGACATTATCAGGTCTCTGTCATCTGATATGTGTTGGGACAATGAATCATAGAGAACCCTCCATTGACCTTCTTTCAATGTGTCTAGATAAAAGGATGAAAATTAGAATCCATCTCCTTGCAGTGCCACGAGTTATAAATGTACTTTATAGGGCTCATTATCCAAACTAATGGACTAAGGGCGACATCCTTGAAATGGACTTACCAGCACTGACAAAGCCAGTATGCAATATTTCAAGAAAGATATGTAAATTACTATGTGTTTGCTATATCTTTTTATTACAGATGTATAAATTTCCATTCATCATATCTTTTCCATTTTTGAGACAGAATTATGTAATCAGAAACATATGTAAAGTGTGAGCAACATAAAATGCCTACCATTATTATTAATGCAATCTATGTAATTTAAAATACTTTAAACTTTATCATATGTACCCAAAAAGTGACCTACAATAAACACAGAAAAAATAAACAACAAAAAGAAAAAAAATCATAATGTATACATTTAATATGCTTTTTCCTCAACCTAAGGAATATGATGTGGTTTTTATTTTCTAACAGAGCATCAGAGATCTCTCAAAAATGCAGGATGTTCTGCATACGTATTAAAACAGCAGATCTAATCTGATACAACACACAAAAAGTAGATTTTCAAGTGGATTACCAAAACCCTAAAATAGGTATGTCTAAAAGTTTCTATATTTTCACACTGTCTTCCTTTAATCTTATTTTCATAAACAATAAAAAGGGCTATAGCAAAATGATAAAAATAATTGTATAACTGTGGATGAAATCTACTATTCTTTATACAGATATGGGTAGTAAAAAAGTGAAAAAGCAGTTCAACCACATATTGAATGGGGTTTTATTTTTCTTGTGCTGGAGAGAACGTTAGCCATGTCTAGAAAGGAGCTGGAATAAATTTTGGTGGCATTTAGGAACTTCGAATTAAATGCTAAACTATCAACAAAAAGTTTGAGAAGAAAATCAAGGCTGTAGCTATAAGCATAAATTTCCCTTAAATGTACTAAAGCAAGAATATTAAAATTAGTGGAAAAATAACTGTAGTAAGATCTTGACCAAGTCAGGAAGCCTACGGAATATGCTTATAAAATAGTAACGAATACCGCACAATTGGACTAAACTTCTACTGTTGTGAGTTTAACCTATTTGTAACCAAGGTAAGCTGACTCTGAAACTACAGAGGCAGCTGTACTGACCAGATACGAATTTGTCTGTTTCCAATTGCTATTAATGGCCTGTTGACCCAAAAGCTCACTAGCTCATAAATACCCTCATTAACAATTTGATAGCCGATTTTTACTAGGCAAAACACTGGAGCCCAAAGTCAAGAGGAAATTAAAGCTGGTGCAAGGAGGAAATACACAGTGAGGTAAAGAACACGAAGAAAGAAAAAGAAGGGAAAGGAAATAGTGACAATCTTTGGCAACAAAACTGGATACCTTGCTAAGTAGCACTCTAAGGAAAAGACTTCACAAGTAGAAGTAGTATTGCATTGAGGCAAGAGAAAAGAATATAAAGAGAAAATAATATAACTGAATAAAAACATAAACCTGGGTCAAAGAAACTCAGCTTTCTGAGTGACATTTTTGCCATGAAGACTATGTTTGAGACTTTAAAAGTATTAGGGGAAAAAAAAAGAGAATGTTACATGATCCTTCTTTCATTGCTGAAAATACCTTTTTTAAAAAACATGTTTTGACCTAGGCTGCATTATTTTGATCATCTCAAGGAAGTTCCTTCCTCAAGACGCTTCCTTTCTCTTTTATATATATTTTGTTTACTTTTATTTTGATTTAGAAATACTGCTTGGTAAAATACCTGCTTTGAAACAATGTGAGACCTGAAAAGAGACAACCGAAGCAGGCATGCGGCTCCAAGGAAAAGGCAGGTGACTAGACTTTGGAAGCTCAATATCTGTGCTTCTTCATATTCAGCATCAGATAATGGCATTACTAAATTTAAAAATATTTTTGTAAATCTGCACCTCAGAAAATCTATCCTTCAGTTTTAAGTGAAAATGGCATAAGCAAACCACTAAAGCAGCCTCACAGGTTTCAAGTCTTTTTTAAGCTCTCTGGAACCCTGAGGAACCTATTAGACTCAAAACATAAAAGCAGGTTAAATGAAAAGCAGCACTCCACCTTTTCTGGAAGGATTACATATAACCTTAGCAAAGAAAACATTAATTTCAAAGGTCTTCAGAATGTGCAAAAGAAGCTGGAAACTGCAGCAACCAGCACCCGACCAGTTAAGATCTCCATGGAGTCGTGTTTGGAAGTTGCTAACTCTAAGCTTTGTCCCTCTGAAAGAGCAAGTTAACTATTTAAATGCTATTGGAAAATAAAGCTGCCTACAGTAGAAGTTCAAATATTATTGTTAAAATAAACTACAGAGTTTACGAAAGGGGCATGATTTATTCGCATATGAATCATGCACTTAAAACAATGACACACATTGGGAAATACTACCACATTTGCATCTCAAAGTCTAAAACTGTGCAACAAACTTCAGAACCTTAAGGAACTGACAGAAAGATAAAATCTGTTGTTTACAGAATTTCAGGGAAAACAGAAATGTTTGATTGATACTTGAAATAATTGATCAATACTTGACCATGTCATGACAAATCTAGCTAAAAGTACCATGCTCAAAGAATGAAATGTGCAGTGCAACTGGAAAGAAAATACATTACACTGATCATTTAACTAATTTTCCTAATAAAATGTTATACATATTTCCTAGCTTAATTTTCAAAATTTTCTATGGAACATTTTAGAATTTCCAATTCCAGAAACTAAGCTCAAAACAGACTCTTAAGAGAGCTGAAGTCTGCAGTTAAGACTAATAACTGATAGAATGTATGTAACAGAAACCATGACAATTTACAGAGGTCTGAAAAATGCCACTATGGAAAAAACCACGGGTTGATTTTTCTCAGCTCAACTTTAAACCTGCCTACAGGCCTGATATTGTTATAACAGAATTTATCCTAGGATAAGGGGGCAGCATAGTTTATGACAACAATCTACCTAAAAACTCATTAAAGTCTTTTCTCTTGGAGTGACATGCATTATCAGCAAAGATTAATCTGATGAGTGCTTAGGTGAGCTCCATTTTTAAAAATGCAATAACAGAGGGCTTTGTTGTCATCTGATGAAAATCAATTAGAGTAGGTAAGGCCACAAGGAAAACTAACATCACTCATCACCAGCCCCCCGGCAGCTGAAATGATTTGTCTTCCAAGCTTGGGTGATCAGGAGCTGTAGTAATATCACAGGGAAATTAATTTAGTTTCTATATTCTAGACCCACTTTCCTTGTTCTGGAGGACCTATACACAAATTACTTTTAATCAAGGTTGATGTGTTATTAATACCAAGGAGGATCTTTGAAGAATCATTTTTTCTTAAATTGACTTAACACATTTTTCATTTGTATTTTGTATAAAAACAGAAGGTTACTTATATTACTCTTACCGTCCAGATTCTTTGTCCACTACAAGGCACTGCACAGAATGGCGAAGACAATAGATACCACCAAATACAGCACACATCCTAGAAACATATTAGAAAAACACACAGGTTACTCCCGTACCAACTAATAGTAACCAACATGAGTGTGTGTCATAAACAAAGCAATGTACTGTGCACGTTGCAGTACTTTTTTAATGATGTCTTAATCTTTGAATCAGACAATCAAAGCAATCGAAATAATACATGTCCTATAGTTTTTGTAAAGGATATGTTGTTAGCTTTTTTTTGTGATAGCATTTAACTTAGTCCTCTAAAATGTTACATTCACTTGAGCACTCAGTTCTCTGTTACCATCTTCAGTCATTCAGGATGGAAAAGCACCTATTTACTGCATAGATACACAGAATAGCTATATTCTGATGATGCTACATTGTGCATGGTGTAGAGTAAGAATATAAGAACACACGATAACCATACCAACCTCCTACTGGAATTCAAAGTGTGATTCAGAAATTATTTCTCTACTCTTACAAAATGTACCATGGGAACTTCATTGCCTACAACCAACTCAAATTTTGAGAGCACTGAGAATTGCCCCTATAGACAGGGCTCTTACAATATAAAGGTGACCTCTTACAAATACTGATTCCTCCAGGTTCTGCCTGTTATGATATAGCGGCTTAAGATATTCTGTGCATGGACTGATAATAAAAAAAATTCCTAAATGAAAAAAGAACGAGCTTCAAAGGACAGTTCTTCAAAAGCTGAAGCATACTAAGCTATTTAGCATTTTTCTACTTACAAATAAAACCAAATACCTAAACCAAAGACAATTATGCTACCCAAACATTAAGCCAGTATCACAACTCATCTGTTTTTAAACTCTACGGAGAATCAGAATTTAAAGAAACTATATTATGACATTTAAATACGAGGGACTCCATGTGAAGTCAACCCACTGCAAAATTTCATCACTACCCAAGGTGTACTATCACTCCCTTGTAGTTATCTCTGACTAAAACTCTTCACTAGATGATCTGTCCTATGCACAAAGTCTGAAACGGCTCTCCCGTAAAGCTGCACAGTGTAAATTCAGTTGGTCTGGTAATAAACATGATCCCAGGTTAATCCCTCCATCCTAACTTCCTATATCTGCCAAAAGCCAGGCTTAATCTTTGGGTCTTACTTTTCTGTTCATTTGATGTGACACAAAAATTAATTCACAAAACCTGAAAATTTAGTTTCTGTAAGTGATGCCTAAAATTTTTACTGGATCCACATTAACATTGAAATGACGTGACGTGGCTAGTTTAAACATTTTTTTAATTCTAACTCCTGAAAGATTTTAATATAAGCCCACACTCTTCAAAATGCTATCAAGCAAGTATAAACAATCAATATTCTTTTTGCCATGTATTTCAAAAAGTCTCTTTAAACATTCTTTGAGAGCACTATAAAGCAGGGTAATTCATGATCTTCAAAGCTTCATGATTAGCTGTGAATTAAGACAAACTTCAGCCAGTTTTTTGTTTGCAGTGCATTATTCCAGAGGCATTCTTATTACAATACAAAATGCAGAGGATGAAGTTCTCTAGAACTTGGTGTGACAAAAGCTAAACTAGTAAGAACATTTTAAAAATTATTTTTCAAATGATGTTAAAAAAGAAAAAAAATCTTTCTCTTTACAATTGTCAGTCAGCATGGAAATTACTTCGTGGAAAAGGGTAAAGAAAAAAGATGGGGGAGATGTGTCTGATCCCTTACAATACAGTTTCAGGTTTGGACTGTTTGCAATGTCTGATCTATCTTAGGAATCTGTAATATTTTTTTTTTAGTTGTTTACTTATTTAACAATCTCCAGTGGTTCATTCAGATCAATGAGCTATCTCTGACCTCTTCTCATGTATGTTGAAGAGAACGAACAAACAAACAATCTGCATACTGACAGAAACTGCATATCCTTTTCTCAGAGAGGACTGCTCTATCAGAGACAACTGTCAAATGTTATCAAGTGGTGTTTGACAATTCTTCCTTTGTCCTACAACTTAAAGACACCTTGTTGTTCTTGTGATCCCTATTATCAAAAGTAAATAGCCTCATATGAGTAAATCATAAACCAGTCTGTAGTACATTCGATACTGTGACAGACTGTTCAGTTTCACCATGTAGGAGAAAGAAACTGAGTCTTCTGAGTTCCTGTTCCTCAGCTGAGCTTTGGCATAACCCAGCCATCTGATGTTCAGCTCACAGATGGAAGGACAGAGCTGAAACCTGGAATGCATAAAAATTAGAAATTACACCTGCCATTTCATTTACAGACTCTGCCTCGGTATTGTATTAAAATAAGAATGGTTAATTCTATTTATCTTCTGTAGAGTTTACACTGTAACTCAACGGATTAGCACGGCTACGTTTCTAATACTCGCCTAGCATTAACTAGGCATCAGACTAGCCAAGCAAACAAGAAATATGAGAAAGGCAGGCTATTTTGGTGGAACACAGTTCTCCCAGATTTCTGGGGTGATAGCAGGATTCTCCTGGTTTACTAACAGTTTGGGAGTGTGGGGGGATTGGCTGCTTTATATTTTTGTTTTGAATTGATTTTATTTTATTTTGAAGTTAGAGAGCTTTAGTATCTGTTCATGGATGATGAACTTGAAAAGAAAACTTTCATTTTGGAAGCCTGACTTCCTAAAATGGAATTCATATTGACACTCAAAAGGCCTAGTAGGTAGTTCAAAGGCAGGTAGTACCGCAAGACCTTTTAAACTGCACGAATGATGCAGCACAGCAAATGCCTGAAGTGTGTTACCAACTTGCACCTCTTCTGAGCTGTCCTCCAAAAGGCAGCAGCCTAAGGAAGTGTCAGCAGTATCACCTGCTGCTGGCTGAATCAGAAGATCCAGTTCCCTACAAACACCTTTTCTACCCATGCAAAAGCAAGGAGAATATACGCCATGTTGAATCCCAGCCTTGACCGTCTGGAAATTGTGGAAGATGACACAAAGGTCAAGCATCCACTGAAGAATTATTATAGAGCCTTGAGCTATGGGCTTATTATCTCTAATGCTGCAATCAACGGCTTCTTGCCTGACAAAGCATGTATTAGTATCTTTCAAACCAACTCAGATGAATTTATTTCATATGTTGTATAAAAGAACAGCACTATTAACCTAACTAGAACTAAGATTCCTGTGTTAAAAACTATAAATTATATTTTTCCTTTGACTTCAACCACAGTCAAAGGCTTTTTGACATATGCACTTTATTTTTCTACCGTGCTTTGAAAGAACTTTGCTGCTTGGCTGCGCAAAAATGTGAATTACTTATTTTCAAAAGTAGCCTGCTATCCAGTGGAGGAGGGCATGACCTGTTTTCACAGTAGGCCAGCGGAAAACTACTCTTTTTAAATGAAAATGGAAAGGAATTTTGATTGTGTTGTGTTAAACAATAGCAAAAAGCCAAAATAGCTATTAAAACAGCCTAGCATGAAAAATGACATGATCAGGAAGAACTTGCCAAAATTATTTAAATATAGAAATTGAAATATTAAACTAAATGGCATCCCAATAATTTATGACAAAGTAAAATCATCATGCTAACATTACCTTCTTACAATAGGCTATTCAAGATGATTTGACTGTTCTTCAAGTACAAGGCAACTCTTTGATACCATTAACCCTAAATGACAGACATTTAAACTGATATTACTCTAATTAACTGGCGACTGCCTACACCAATAATTCAAGTTTTGCTGAAAGATAGCAACAACACTGTACTCAACTTCAACTTTGCCCTGGTGACATCAAATCATATTACAGCTAAATTAACAGTTGTGAAAATTTTTGGCCTGGTAGCCCTCCATCATACACAGCCTTTAAATGCCATTTCAGTTCCCATCAAGGCAGGAATCAGCAGCTGTAATTTTTAATACCGCTGTGAAACAATAAGACATATTAAAAGCTGAATTTTTGACAGCATCTTCGTGATGATTTATGAGTTTGTACATAATTTGATTATTCTACTAATTTTACTGATTACTGATTCAGCTAATACAGTGAAGGTCACTTACAAAATAAATCTTCATTACATTTCACAGAAAGTAACTGCCTCCAACTAGTTGTTTTCTTTAATTAAACACTAATGTAACAAGAGAGAAAATAGGCTTCAGGGTTGCTGCATCTGTTGCTACAAGAGGAGTTTACTGCTTTGATGTAATGCTCTCCGATATTAATTGAACAAAAATAGAATGTCTCTCTATCTGACATCTTGATTTTCAGCACAGAGATACCACAAACACCCTTAAATTACAGACATTCTGAAACTACATAAAACAATTGGAAAACCAAATTAAACAGTTCCACAGCAAAAAAAGAGAGGTTTTATTTCTAGCATACAGTTTGTCTTCTACTTTCCAAAATGCATGGCATTATTAATTAAAAAATTTAATATTTTTCTCCCCAACTGAACAGTTATCTACAGCCAAAACTACTTGCTTCCCTCCTTAAAGTTGAATACTGCATGTACAGCACAGCAAGCTTTGGAAAAAGATCAAAGAAAAACATGCCAAGTGCTGAATTAATGAATTGTCCTCTTTCAATTTATTTTCACACACAGAGAAAGCTGTGACCTGGTTCTTATGTTAAATTCTGTGTTTCCTGAAAGGTCCCTACAATGTCAGCATTTCCTACAATATTGTTGTACGTTCTAAAAACATTAAAAAGGACAGACAAATCAAATAAATAGCCACAGTTAAAAAAACACAGTTGCTTTTCTCAACACAGAGTTCCCACAAAAAAAAGTCAAATCTCAGTATGTGCACCCACCCAGATGAAGACAAAACAATACAGAAAAAAGCATCAAAGAAATAATGAAGATGATAATCAACAGGAACCAGAACTGTCCTGGCATTTGGAGAGGTATTGGGAAGGATAATATGGGATAAGTGCTTGAGCAAGCAAATGAAGAGTCAAATATTTTGACTTTTTCCTGAAGACTGTGTTCAGCATTCCTGTAAAATTTAAAAGGTCCTGAAAGATTACAGAATCAGCCCAGTTGATAAATCCGATTACCAAAATTAC